TTTGAGGGGAGCAGCATGGCAGCATCTTAAACATATAGCAATAAGTGGGAAAGAGCACTAGCAAGGAGGTAGCCATCTTTCATTATGTCACAGGACGTGAGACCTTCCATTAGAGAGCACCTTGCTCGTTCTAGTTGAGTTTCAAGGAGAGCTAATCTGCATTCATAACTGCCAGTAAAGCTGTCTCAGTAGAAGGCTTATTTTTGTGAGATGAATCCATGCCATGATGTGTACCACTTGGCATGAGGCCTGGTCCACTTACTGAACTGGAGGGAAAACTAGAAGGTCATGGGTTTGCTGATATCTTTCTCCTCTTGGACTCATGGCTGCAGAGAATTTGCAGTGGGAGACTTTCCTCTATTATACTGCAATATGTTTCCTTCTCTTTAGCTCTGCCTTCTTTCCTTCCTAGCAGCAGAAGAGGGATTCTTTACTATTCTAAGAATGACACCTCTACCACCTTAAGAAGATGATGATAATAATGTTTAGTCTCTATATAGTTTATTTTCATCTTATGCATATTTTGCACGGGGCACTCTATCGTGGGTTACTCTTGGTCCCTTCTGAAATTCTGCTGCAGGGTTTGGATGTGGCCAGTTTGGCTGCCCTTCTGTTACTGAGGGTGAGCTGAGGTCTGGAGGTGCAGTCTGGTCAACTGGGGCTGTGAGCTCTCCTGTTTTGCAGATTTTGTCTCTAATTTTTTTTTCTAGTTTTATTGTATTTCTCATAAGAGTGCTAACTCTTTCTGGTCAGAGGTTTTTATATTTTCTGTTGAGTTGGAAGCAGGTGTCCTCTGGTTTCATGTGCTCTAAGCTCAAGGAGTCCTATATACCTCACTTCCAGCCAGGAACTTGGCTCAAGGTGTTTGTTCTCTGCCTGCCCCGTTTTCCCTCACAGCAGCACTGCCTCTCCCCTCAGCCAGAGGGGGGCAAGTCAGAGTAGACCCGTGTGTTTCCGAATAATGGGTTTCTGGGAGCTTTACCCCACCTGACCCTACCTACATTTGGATTGCCTCCCCTCCACCTCCTAGGTGAGGGAGGGACTCCTACCCCTGGGTAACAGGGGTGGCCAAATGCATGACACCTGACAGTGGACAGATAAGATCGACAGCAGCTTATTAGTCCCATGTTCCAGAGCCTGGAGGGGAGGACACGGAGCCATGTGTGGGGCACACTGGGGAGCAGAGTGAACAAGCAGGGGCTGCAGCAGGTGGTTCCCATGGGACGATGTGATTGGCTTGTTTGTATAATTTCATGGGCTGGCAAGGAACTGAAACCTACCACTTATAACGAGGAACTGGTCCCTGGCTAAGGGCACTGGCCGGCTGGGGCGCCTATCTGGCAGAGCAGATTGGGAGGAGCTTGCGGCTAGGCCCCTCGCGGGTTCCTGATTTCCCAGAGGTCAGGGCAGCAGACAGTGGGCTTCAAGTTGGCTCTTACGCCGCACTCCCACTCCCTCCCTGGCCATGGACTCTCATGGTTACTCTGGATTTATTTTATTTCTTTTCTCTTTTATCATTTTTATTTATCTCCTTTTATTTCAATCTCTTGAAGGTCTTATCCCCTTTTACATACTAATCAGGGGTTAGGTGTGGTGCCAGACACGTGAAGAAACTCTCACTAAGATGGAAGGGACATTTGAGCTTCGCTCCAGCCACCCCCTGAACTGCTCACAGGTGATGAATGAGGGAGCCTGTAGAAATGACCCTGGGCCCTAGAAGTGCCCCCGAGCAGCTCAATTTCCTGCCGGCCAAGGGTCCGTGGCACTGTTCTTCCTCACAGGACAAGGGCTAGCTTACAGAGTGACTACAGAGGATAGTAACAATATTAATTGGCATAATCACATGTATTACAAAATGTTACATCTTTTTAGCAAAATGCATCTTTTATCCTTTGAGAAAATGTGGCAAGAAATATCTCTGGGTACTAAATTTTTATATCTAAAAAGCTTAAATCCTAACTTGGTGAGTGTCAAAATGCTAGGCCCTAAATCAGTTTCTTTCAGATATTTGTAAATATTAATCTATTTGCTTTTACATGTTGTGTTAATGTTGGGGAGTCTGATGCCTCTCTACACCCATTCCCTTATTTATATCCTGCTCTCATTTTTACATTTCTGGGAGTTTTTTAGGTTTATCATTATTGTTGGAGACCTGAACTGTCATCAGGATATGAAATCATTTTTTCCCCCATCCTGATCAGTACTCAGATTTTTGTTTCTGAAAAATGTTCCTTTCAGTTCTGAACATTATCTTCCCATTATTTCTCCAATTATTTTATTTTTCTCATTTTCTCTTGTTTTTCATTTCATTGCTTGCTTTAAACTCACATGTTTCTTAAATTTTCTTTTATATTTTATGTCTTTTTTTTCTGTTTGTTTTGTATGCTAGTAAAGATTTGCCCAGCCGGGCGTGGCTCAGCGATTGAGCGTTGACCTAAGATCCAGGCGTTCGGGGTTCGATTCCCGGTCAGGGCACATTCCCGCGTTGCAGGCTTGATCCCCAGTCGGGGGTGTGCAGGAGGCAGCCCATCAATGCCTCTCATCATTGATGTTTCTCTCCTTCTCTCCCTCTCCCTTCCTCTCTCTGAAATCAATAAAGATATATTTAAAAAAAAAAAAAATTTTATCTACTTCATTTTATATATCCCTAATTCTAGTATTTGCCCTGAGTGGTTATAATTAAAGTGCTATTAATTTTTTAATTTAGCAATTATTCTGTTAATTCAAAAGAGCTCTTCCTTTTTACTGATTTCCTCTTTATTGTTATAGTTAGTTCCAGATTTATGGATACAGTAACCTCTCAAATCCCTCTGAAATTAATAAATTATAAGCTGTCTTCTTTCAATTATCTTTCTCCCAGAATGTTTATCACTATATATCTTTTTCAGGATGTTAATTTTCTCCATGGCTGACTTTTTTATGTTGATTTTGTCCAATGACTGATGATCTTTGGTGATTAGCTTATATTTATTAATGAACTCGGCTGCTTAATTAATGACTTAGGATATGTCATTGCTATAGGATTTCCTGCCATGATATAGATATTTTCCCAGTAACCCTTTTTTGAATAAGAGGGAAAACTTTGGGTCCTGTAGAAACCAATAAAGTATGAGAATAGTGCATGAGTGAAAGTTAAATAGCACACATACATTAGTACACACACACTCATACCTCACACACACACACATGCACATCCCTCATACACACCTCACACAGACACAGACACACACACATACCCCTCACACAAACAAGCACACATCTTCAGTGTCAAAGGGAAAACAGTGACTTTATTTTCTGTCCTAAACAAAGCTGATGTTTTCCTTTTTTTCTCCCACCCATGTCTTTTGTGGGGGTTCAGAGCGACCTGATTAAATGAAAGTCTTTTTGGTCCCAGAGCTGGACATCTTACCAAGGCAGGTAGCTCACTTCATTCAGAGTGTCTTTCTTGGGTTCATACATAGCTGCTGCCTGCTGTTCAGTATAAAGGGGCTGTTGGGAGGTGAGCCTTGCCCCTCTGTGGAGAAAACACTTTACAATAAGTCATCCTGGCCATTACCCTGGGCCCCCTTGCTGCCTTTGAAATTTGCCTTCTGAGCTTTGTTGTTTGTCTATTTGCTTTTCGTGGATCTGTTCTTTCCTTGCCCGCAAAGTTGTCATATGCTGTTCTTAGTCTGAGAATTTCTCTATAGTTATGAAATAAATTATGTACTTTTTCTCTTCAGGAATTTCTAACAACTTCTGATCTGTTATAAGAACACTTTGTTGGTTTCCAGTGCTGTTTGCAGTTCTTATAAAAATACACACTTTCTCTAATTTTGAGTGATTGGGAGTGGTGCACCCTCAGCCCTCCCTCTGTACCTAAGTTTTCTTGTAGTGCCTCCTTAGCATTGTTTCCACTTCAAAATAGGTGTGTGCTTTTGTTATTAATATAATACATATACTTTTAGAGAAAGACAATACAGAAAAGCAAGATGAAAATAAAAGTTTTTAAGCTCTCATGTAAAAGTTTATGATTTTATTAATATTCATCATATTTAATTTTGCAAAAAGTTGCTTTAATCAGGCAATAGAATATTTTCATCTTATTTTGGGAATGCTATTGTATTGCAAATGCTGCTAAAAATCTTAGAGTGTATGCAAGAGACCTACAATGCAGCCCATCATTGTCAGAATAGTCTCCAAATACACTTCCTGCTTAATGAAAACCAGAGCGTTTCCAGTGTTCTGTGACTGAGCAAGAAATATTTGTTTCGGTCATATATGTTTGACAATCTAATGCATTTCCAGTTTCATAATTGAAAAAAACTGACTATTCTTTCTATTCATTTATAAATCATTGCAAAATATAGTTATGATGTCTGATATTAAAGTAGCATAGTTTTATCAGTAATCTGCATGACTTAGACCTACAACTAGAAGCTTATTTTCCTTACAAAGTAAGAAATCAGGCTGGTATGGCTGATATTCTTCACATGGTTCTACCAACTTTTTCACTTTTCCACTCTGCTTAGCACATGGGGCTAATATTCACTGCTATAGAGTGTCTGGGCATCACAGGCACCATGCCCATGTTCTGGAAGAAGCATCACCCAGCTGATTCCATCCACTACAGCAGGTGTCGTTAGCTTTCACCAAGCACAATTCTAATCTTATCTCACTAGATGTAACCATCACATGACTACACTGAGTCTTTTTTAGTTAGACACACAGCATCTTGGAGCAAAATCATGATATTCATAAGTGACAGAAGAAGAGTGGATTTTGGCAGGCATTTAGCAGTGTCTGCTTTTGAGACCAATTTCTATTATAGTGTATATTTATGAGATCAATATAATGGACAAATTGGTGAATGGTGTTACCATTGCACAGGTAGTCATTAGCTCTGTATATTTCCACATGGCTGTACATTTTTACAGGTTCTAGTGTAATGCGTAATTGAATAAACAATCATGCTGGGAAAGATATGTCTGGATAAAAATTACTTTCATTTCTCTCATTAGCCAGGTGATACCTGTGACAATCATACTACTCAGGAAGAAAAAGAGCTGCCTGTAGTTACCAAAACAAGTGGTTCTTCGGTAAGTTCTAGCAGGAGAACTGGGGGTAGGGATGAAAGAAGACAATCTTTTCGTCAAGACAATCATGTAAAACTTCAACACAATGCAGCACAATTACGATGGCTGGACAGCCACCACTGTCAGCATACCTATCTGCCTATAACTGATTTGTAGGAGGACATTCAGTAGTAAATGAACCCATTAAATCCACAAATAACTGCATGCTCTATAAAAACAGATACACACCCAGGAAACCGATGACTGTAGGCATTTCTTTTTGACAAATCTAGTTTCTTTACATTTTTTCTTTCATTAAAAAAAATTCTCTTAGGACTGTTAGTTCTGTCAAGTCACAGGTTCACCGTTTGGTTTCTCCAGTAGTTTCCTCTTGTTTCTCTAGTGCAGGGTGAACTTCAGGCACCTTCTGCAGACAATACTTTTTATCCCAGGTGTCCAGGCCCCCCTCCCTTTCCATCTCCCCTGTGTTTGCTGAGAGCCACTTCTACTCCCCACTTACCCAAAGGAGGGCAAAGTCCGGCAGCTCAGGAGAATGATAAGGCTTCTATTAGTCTGCAAATGGGACCAGTTGCTTTATTTATGGTCTATCCTGGAGCCTTTTCTCATATTTGTTTCTGCTTGCATTGCTTTCATAAACTACCTTTTCTCTCCCTCGGTGGGGCTTCTGTAACCTATTTTCCCATCTTCATAGTCCCTCTTCTAACTTTCTCCTGGATAGAAAAAAGCAAAGTGGTGAATCCCAATAGGTCTACCCTCCCTGCTGAGATGGTGTTGGGGAGAGACTCGCTTTGAAAGGGCTGGAATATATTGAACCCACTGTGATGTGATTGCTCACGCCTTCTGTCATGTTCCCTCATAATTAGGAGGAGATGATAGCTGTCTTTTTCAAAATTTCCTTCATTTGCTTTCTTCTTTGGGACTCTTTGATGGGGAGAGAGTTGGATCTTGGAAAAGAGTTCACATTATTCCTGGAATATCTCTCTCCAACCATCACTCGTGACTGCTGCTAGGATTTTGTTTTCCTATTTTTCAGGTATGTTTTGTTGACTCTACTATGTTTTAGGAGAGAGAGACTTGGTCATTTGACATAACTCTTCCATTTCATCCCAGAATATAATTCCTGTTGTTTACAGAAAACTCCTTCTTTTGATATTAGAAATTGTTCATAGTTTGTTCTAAGCTGGTATTTCCAACCTCAAGTTCTCTTAACAACCACACAAATCGCCTAATTAAAAAAAAAAAAAATCAACTTTCACTTTCAGGAACATATCTTGAGTTTTCCAGTGGTAAAATTTTGTTGTCTTTTTAATGGGGGAAAAAAGGGGACATCTTTAATACTTTCACTAATAAAGATAAATTTAAAAAATAAAATGAGCAAAAGATTTTAACAGACACTTCAATCAAGAAGGTATATGGATGGGAAATAAGTTTATGAAAATGTGCTCAGTATCATTAATGATTATGGAAATAAAATTACAATGAGATATGTATACATACCCTGTAAAATGGCTAAAGTTGAAAAGATTGACCATACCAACTGGTGCTAAGGATGCGGAGCAACTGGAACTCTGACATTGCTGGTGGGAATGTAAAATGGTCCATCTGCTTTGGAAAATAATTTGGCAGCTTCTAAAATGTTAAGCATGTACCTACTATAAACCCAGCCATTCTACTTATAGATGATATATATTTATACACAGACTATCCACAAATGTTTATAGCATAATAGCCCTAAACTGGAAATAACCCAGTTTTTTTTTTTTACAGATAAATAGATGAACAAATTGTGGTATATCCATACAATTGAACATAAGTCAGCAAAAAGCAATGAACTATTGATATACACAATAGAGATATACGGTGAACTGTGCATATTCACAGTAGAGATGGATGGATCTCAAAATAATTATGCCATGTGAAAGAAGCCAGAAAAAAAAAAGATTTAGCCTATATAAAATTATAGAAAATGTAAACTAACCTATAATGATGGAAAGAAGATTAATGATTGCCTGGGGACTGGGTGTGAACAGGGAGGGGAGGGAAGGAGAGATAACAAAGGGGCATGAGGACATGGGGGGGGTGCTTATTTTATTCACTTNACATGAGGACATTGGGGGTGGGGGTGCTTATTTTACTCACTGTCTTCATTGTAGTGGTTTCACAGGTCTGTATATTTGTCAAATTCATCAAATTGTATACTTTATGCTATTTAAATATGTGTAGTTAATGGTATGTCAGTTATACCACAACCTATTAAAAAGAGTCCATATAATGTTCTGTGATTTCAGTAATATTTAATGTGTTTATTTTGCAATAAGCTACTCACAATAAAGGAATAGTCTGTTCATGTATTACATGTAGTAGACCCTTGACTTAACTCACCAATGCCACTGAATCTAGGCATCTACAAAAGGCTTGCAATCCAACCTCCAGTCATCACAAACCTACTCTGCAAATCAACTACTTGTATAGATAAAACATTTCCCATGTGTGCAGTTGACATAAATGAATTATTCAATTGAGGTGTTAGTTTATTTAAAAGGCAGTCAACCTAGTTTATTTCCAATGCCTTAAGGAAAAATCAAATAGCTGCACTTGCTATTGATTCAGAGTTCACTGCAAAATATAATCATACCATCTGTTAACAGTTACATCTGTGTTTGCTTCATAGAAATGAAAATCTAAGGAGCCTTGATTTAAACAAGTAGGAGTATATTTTAGTCGCAAAACAAAAGACTAACGGTATGTAGACCAAGGGGGATACAACTGCAATGCAATGCCATGCCACCTCTAGATGAGCTGGTAACCTCTTCCTTTCATGTGGATTTAATCCTTCTGCTTACGAGATGCTCAGCAAAATATGGATACCACGTTGATGTTCCTGTTAGGAACATGTGCCAGCTGACTGTTATTAACAGAAAACCTTAGTTCTGGAAAACCTGCACAGTAGAATTTCTCTTATCTTTCATGGAGTGACTGTCACACTTAGTATATTAATATTTTTTTCTCATTTTAGTTTCCTGAATCTCATTCCTTTATAAATAAGCTCCTTAAGTTATTTTTGTTTAGCTTCTCTTCCTCTTTTTTGATTTTATTTTGCATTTATTGCTGTAGTTCTGAAGTTTCACAAGGACCTGCCCTTTATTTAATTCATCCTGATCACAACTCAGTGTGTCCTTTCCATCTAAGAACTGTTTTCTTTCTTCAGGTTTTGAACATTGTGTTCTGTTATGACTTTAATTATTTTTCCCCATTTTCTATGCCCAACCCCTCTAGAACACATATTAAATGGTTTGCTTGCATTGGATTTCAGTATCTCACAGTTTTTTTTTTCATGTTAGTTTATTTGCTTTGTGTTCCAGATTTCTTCAACTTTATGTTCAAATTAATAATTTCTTTCTTGGTCATTACTGTATTATATTTTAGCTTGTCTCACACTTTTTGTAAATTTTAGCAAACTTATTATTTCCCAAGAACAACATTTTTTTCTCTGATGTACTGAGTAGTATGGCCATAGGTTCTTGATTCATAGCAATGATCCATAAATCACTGTGAAGATAAGAATTCAGTTATTTCTAAGGAATCAAATTATTCTGATGTATTCTTTTTATTGAGGTATAATTTACAGACAATAAATGCATACATTTTAGGTGTATAATTGAGTTAGTTTTAACAAATGTTTGCACCCAAGTAACCAGTTAATCAAAATACAGAACATTTCCATCACCCCAGAAATTTCTCTCAGAACCTTCCCAGTCTGTTGTCCTCCCACTCCTTAGAGGCAAGCCCTGTTGTGATTTCTGACACCTTAAAGTGGGTTTCACCTTTCATATAAATGGAGAATTATGATATGTACTTTTGTATCTGGCTTCTTTTACTCAGAATAATAATTTTTAGATTCATCCATTTGTTGCTGGTATTAGAAGTTTGGTGTTTTTATTACTAGTATTACTTCATTGCATAAATATACTATATTGGTATATCTTTTCACCTGTTGATGGACATTTGGATTGCTTCCAGGTTTAAGCTATTATGAGTAATGCTTCCATGAATATTCATGTAATATAAAGGATTGTATATTCTCATTTCTCTTGGGTAAAAATGCAACATCATTCATATTATTGGCAAACACAAATACCCACAGCCCCATCACTCATAGCTCTTAAAATCAACAAGAACTAATACAAATTAACTAAATTCTCTTTTTTTTAAAAAAAAAAGCATCTACAGGCAGAAACAACAACAACAAACACAAATACTAGATTTTTTTAAAAAATGTGTATCCTAAGTGAAGGATGTTCTTAACTAAACCTTGGTCCTTGTGGGTGAGCTCATGAAAAATAACAGTCTATCATGTAAATATTTTTTTCAGTATTTCAGTATCAACTATAATATAAATATTTAGTTTGGTCCAGTTATTTTCCAAATGTAAACATTTTGTGTGGAGAACATGTTAGCTTTTGGAATGTGAGGCAGTAAGTGACGCAAACAGTGAGCTGTCTGCCTGCATGTGGGTACCGTCTGGTCAGGGACGTGCACTGTCTCCTCGGGCAGCAGCAGGTGTCCTCAGGTTTGAGGTTTTGCTGCAGTGCAGGGAGAGCTTCTGACCAAGGCTATAGATCCTGGTGGTTTTTTCTTGTTCATCTCCCAGTCTGTCCCTCCTGTATCAGAATCCTGTCAGAGCAAGAAAGTGAGACGATCCACCAAAGACACCATCCACGAAAACATAGGGTGGAAAGTGTTTTTTACAAGGCAGAAGATCCCAGCACACTTTTAGGTGGAACTACAGCTCTCCAGGCGCCTAAAGTTCTCTGCAGAATTATTGACTTATGATTGATTAGTGTAGGAAATTGCTATGTGTTTCCTCTACAGTAGATCAATTTTCCCTGCAGGCGAAAATTGTTGATTGTATGTTCTCGTGGGCGAGTTGGATATACTTACATATCAGGTGCATGGAGGAGGCCGGTAGGTTAGTAAACACTCCCCTAATCAAAACCAATGAAGGGAATGAAGATCTCTAATTTATTATGTCCAGTCAAAGCTAATATTATTTTTCAGCCTCCCCTCCATGTCTTGTGGCCTCCTAAGTTCCCTCTCAGACCACTATCCTCATACTAAAAACCGACATAGCCCCAAGGCAGTTAGTTCATTTTATGTAGACTGCATTTTGGGGGGTTTCCCTAGGGTTATATTTAAAGACTGTCTACATATTTAAGAGGGGGGAGATCTACTTGGCTCCTCTTTTGTAAACATTTTAAACTATTTATCTGTAGCCCTTTCCTACTCTGTGTACACTCTGTTATTTGCTTGCTTTACTCTTCCCTCCCTACAGGTTTCCTTTTTTAAAATTTTCTTTTTTAAATTCTGCTTTTAGGTAGAGGTTTTTATTTTACCAAACCAATTCCATTTTCTTTTTATCTAGAAATTTCTATAACATGATCTGCTACAGAATTCTTTATTGGTTTAAAGTGCTGTTAAACAAATCTGTTCCTTTAAAAAATATGTTTTTGCCCTGTCTGGGTGGCTCAGTTGGTTGGAGCGTCATCCAGCACTGAACGGTTGTGGATTCTACTCCCTGTCAGGGCACGTACCCAGGTTTTGGGTTTGATCCGTGGTTGGCGTGCATGTGGGAGGCAACTGATGGATGTTTCTCTCTCTCCCCCCTCCCTTCTTCTCTTCCTAAAATCAATGAAAACATACTCTCGAGTGGGGATTTAAATATATATATAGTTTTCTATCACTTTTAGTGATCCGGGGTGTGAGGTGATATAGTGATTGTCAAGTTACCATCTTGACTTGAATTTCAATTTCTTTTATTCTTGTGCTTTATTAGTTTCTTTTAAAAAAAGGTTTCTTGTTCATTTTATAAAGTAATGCATGCCTTCTATAGAAAATTTAGAAATTACTGTCAGGCAAGATGAATGACAGTTTTTTAAAAGACAAAATAGTGTATGTTTTTATAAGTATAAATTATACCGAAATTTGTAATAGGCCCCTTTAGTAAAGGAAAGAATATTCGCAACTTAAATTTCAGTAGTCATTGTGCACTAAAGCAAAAATTTCTTCATTCCATCTTTATAAATGAAAAACAACTTGGTACTATTGCTACTGAATTCTGATCTCTGATAAAGGTCGTTTTAGAGCCTGTTTAAAAAAATAAGATTAGGTGAGTTAAGTTTGTGTTTGGCTGCACGTAATAGAAAATGAGGAGTAGTTTTGCTTCCCCTGGAGACGTGGTCCAAGTCTCACGGAGCAGCTACGTGCTGCCCCTTAGCATGGACCAACCACACGTGGCCTGTCTGTGGCCTTCTTCCCTGTGGCCGTCCTCATCATACAGGATGCGTGGCCATCCCAGGCTTTATCCATGTGCTATCCTGAGTATCCATCAGCTGACCTTGCTCTTTCGTTCAGGAAAGCCATACCTTTTCTGGAAGCACTCTTCGTAAAATTACCCTTATGCCTTACTGGCCACACTTGTCACATGATCACTCTTAGCTACAAAAGAGCCTGGGGATCAAGTTCTGTAGTTTAATACCTAAATCCCTGGAACAAAACCAAGATACTGTTAAGGAAAATGGAGCTTGTTGCAGCCAGTAGAGGTGTTTGCCACAGAAGCCAGTGTCAGAGGGTGTTTCGGTGGCTGCCGTAATGACCCCTGCAGGGCTGGATGCCCAGGCATTTGTAACTTCATGGATTGCCACACGTGTCTGACTATGTACACATAGTAGAATGCACAAGCACTAGAACGTATCTGCCGGAATAAGAATGCTGCTCTCATTTCTCCATTCAGCCGGGTGATGCTTCTCTCAGCAGTCCTGCCTTGTCAGATGGGTCCCAGGATGAAGGAGGGAAGTTTGCACTTCCCCGGAGTGGCTCTGTGGTAAGTCACCCCATGCCAAGACTCTTGCATGTCAGGGCAAAATTGCCAGTTCGAGGCAAAAAAGAAGCAGTTTCTGCAAAACAGATACGAAAAACTTGAACTAAGATTGCAAGAAAACCACAGCTGCCAGGAGACCCAGCAACCTTGTAATAATTAGGAGGAAGGAGACTGAAAACTGAGGAATGACTATATTTTAGTTTAAAAAAGGACTTCATAAATTAATACCACTGCAGGTGGAACCCAAAGGGTGTTCTTTACGTCTATCAAGCATGGAGAGGTTTAACTTTGGTCTTTTTAGCTGAATTCACACATGTGATATGGTCTGATTCCTCCATCTTAATCCAGAGGTCCCTTTACCTGCAGAATTAATTAAAACTCCTCTTTCTGACATTTAAAGGTTTCTACTCTTGTCTACATTTCCAGCCTTAGCTCTCAGCACTCATCCATGCAAACCCTCCACTCCATACACAGTCACTCACTTGGCCTTGAGTGACAGAACCTATACATTTCTTCGTTAAAACTCTCATCACTCCTCCTCTCCCCCCTTCACTGGAAATCCCCACGTGGTGTCTCTGTGCAGATGCTCTGGCAGGGGTGGTGCAATGGGCCAGAAGAAGTGAGAAATCCTGTTAGATGAGGTAGCAGCTCTCTGATGGCAAGTTGATGGACAGCATCAGATAGCCCTTGAAACAGGCAGGTGCCGGGGGCACATTCAGATATCCCTGCAGGGCAATGGTTTCTCTGCTGTCCATTTTGAGACACAGGGTAGTTGACATTCACATGCATAGCACACTCCCAGTATATCCCCATTGTTCAGGGACATAATGCTATTAGCCCCATGAAAATTAGCTTCTCTGTTGTGTTTTTAGAATTTTGGTTATGGAGTTGTTTTGTTTCGTTGCACAGTGATCACATAAGAAACCGAATAATGTGAGTGACTTTTGTCAATGAGTAACTTACCAATAACACTACAGGTGTTGGCATAGATAGGCTAAGAATGACCCGCAGTGTCTGCACAACTGGCTATGAATTCAGCCCTTTCCCATTTAAGACCACACATTGGAGTGCAAGTGAGTATGTCTCAAATAGTGATCTCCAATGCACCCTACTTATTAAAACAGTAAGTCATTCACAAACTCTGGTAAGTACTGGAAGTGAGTAGTTACCTGTAATAGACCTTAACACAATTGTGCTGTACCCCTGTGACTGGGATTCCTGCTTTAGGTTCTTGCCCAGGGTCCTTTATTTTCTGCCTCAGCTGGTGGTACCCATGTGCCCAAGACCTAAATATTAGCCTCAATTTCACCTATCCTCTACATGCCTATCCTCAAGACCTGTGGATTTTATCATGTTAATAATTCTAGAATATTCCTACTCCCCTCTTTTCCTACAACTACTTCCGCAGTACAGAAACTGGTGAGTTTCTGTATTGCTGGAATAGGTCCTTAAATCATCTCCTGGGTGTTCATTTATACCCCTCAAATTCATCTTTCCAACAGCCACAAGCCCCTTAAAGCCCACAGTCGTTCCTCCCCACCTTCTGGTTGATGTGAAAGCTCCTGGCATAGTCTGAGCCCTCGTCTGCCTCCCTAGCTGACTTTTCCACCCCGGGCGTTTTGTATAAGCCAACAACAAAGGCCTGCCTGTGGTTCCAGGCAGACACGGAGCAGAAATTGAAGGGATGTTTGCACAGTTGAGTTGCTAAAGAAGAGTCGGTTGGAAAGACTTGTTTTTGAGGCTTTCCCATAGCAGTTCCATGAGCACAGTTTTACTTCTAACGAGACCTGTGCTCGTCGTGATTTTTCATTTCTGTACCCTTTTCTGTTAGCTTTTCCGTATCACTGGTTGCTTGATTCAGTCAGTCATGCGGTCATTCATTCGTTCAACAAGTCCTTACTGAGCACATACTGTCTGCAAATAGGATTTTTGAAAATTGAGAGTGCAAGAGAAAGAAATGATTTTTTTTATGGGAATTATAGATAGAGCTTCCTGGGGTAAGTGAATTACTCAGATTTTGGGTTTATTTTCAATTTGTTTTCTGAAAACTGAATGCTGATAATGAGATAAATAAAAGTTTCAGCAAAAAAATTTAAAATAAAATCTCATTGGCACCAGTCTCCAACATGACTGACTTTGGTTTGTTACTCAGAATATCTTTACTTAGAAATGTTAAACAATTGGTTATTTGCTAGAATGGCCCACAGATGCCAACTTAACTCTTAATCACCTATATTGAAAATCATTCTAGAACATCTTACCAAGAGGTAAATATGTTTTGCTTCCCCTACTTCTTGGTTATGGGAGCTACAGGGCACAGTCTTTTTAGCTGGTGGGGTTTCCCGTAATTCAGTGAAATGGATTCGGGGGTCCTGGCCATGACGTCTATAAAGGTGAATCTCACCTGCCTAGATAAGTTCCCAGGGACATTTTACTGTCATCTCCAAAACTACAGAGACTCCTGATAGTTTGCACATTGGCGTTTATGTTGTGGAATGTTATAAAGTAGGTAACCTAACTTTATTTTTTCCAAAGGGATAACCTTGGCTTGACCAATATTTTTTTCAATCTTTCATTTTTTTCTACACATTTGAAATGAACCTTTATGATACATGAACTCTCTATGAACACCTGGCTTATTTTAATTAGTGTGACTTTATAGTTTGTTTTTAAAATCTGTTATAAGTTCACCCTCATTATTCTGCATAAAAATTTTCTTTGCTCTTCTTCGAAATGTTTTCTTTCAGATGAACTTAGAATAAGACTATTACTACCCATTAAAAAGATACTTTGTTAGGGCTCCACTGGGAATTTTATTGAATTTAAAAATTAATGCCAGGGAAAGAATTCACATCTTAAAATATTGAGTTTTCTTGTTGAGAAACAATGATTGTGTCTTTCCATTTATTTTATCATCTGTCTTTCAAAAAACTTCACAGTTTTCTTTTTTACATATTTTTTTCACACATGTTTTCACTGTTTAATTACTAGGAACTTAATAGTTTTCATATTTTAAATGGTAGGGTTTTTATATCTACTAATTTGGTTTTGCAGATACATAAGGAAAGTAATTGTTTTGGTTTTTTACAAAAATATCTTACAGCTTCCTTTCTGAAATATTTTTTTACTTCTAAAATTTTTTCATTTGATTTTATAATTTGTGCACATAACATCTGAAATACTGAAAATTTTATTTACCCAATTTATCTTATATACTTTCCTTGTCTTATTGACCACGATTACTTATAACATTGAATAATAATTATGGAGATCTTTAGATAAGTATAAATTTTCTCATGAATTCTTCTAAGTTTCATCATTAACTAGAATATTTCTTCCAGGTTCTTGCTTTTATTAGGAATGGAGGTTGAATTTTATCAAATGATTATTCATCATCTATTAAAATGAATATAGTAGTTTTCTCATTTAAGCAATTACTTCAGGAAATTACAGTGATATGTTTTCCTAATGCTGAACTATAATTTCTTTGCTTAGATAAACCCTACTTGTGTGTTATATTATTCTTTTATTACACTACAGAATAAGATTTGCTTCTATTTTAGCATTTTGAACCACTAGTCTAATAAGTGGGGTTAGTGTGTGTGTGTGTGTGTGTGTGTGTGTGTGTGTGTGTGCAGAATTTCTTTTTGTTACCAGAGCTATGCTAGTCTTGATACAAATAGGTTGAGAACTTCAAATCTTTTCCAGTATTTGGTGCCATTTATTAAACTTTGGTGTAAATGATCTGTAAAATCTATTAGATATAAATTTATATTGTAATTTGTTTATGAAACATCCAAAGCCTGGCATCATTGTTGGCATAATGTTTTGGTTAATTTTTAAATGGATATGGTTTAGGGGTTCTAGTCCTTTTAATCCCAAGTTGTATGAATTTTGGTAATAGATATTTGTTCTAGAAAAACATCCAATTCATGTAGTTTCCAAATATGTTGTTATATATACACAAATAAAGCCACACATTTATTTAGGTGTATAATTTTTAAATTTTCTGTGAAGGTAGCTATTACTCTTTTTTTGTTCTTAAAAGTTATGTTTGTTTATTTTATTTCAATCAGAACTGTAAATAGTTACTTATATCACCAATTTTTTAAGAAGTCACTACCTTTAATTAATGAAGCCTAATTTTTTCTACTGTATTAATGTTTTCATCCATTCTTGACTCCCCTTAGATAATTTTGTCTAGTCTCTTAGGTTATAAACATATTTCATTTATTTATAATCTTTCCTATTTGCATTAGAATTAATCTCTTGAGTACGTTGGCTATTCTCATGGATTTTGGAATTTAATGTTCTCATTGTCTTTAACATTTAGTTTATAATTTCAGATGTGATTTAATTTTTAATCCAGTATGTCATTGAAATTTCTTTATGAATTCATAATTGGATAGATTATGTAATTGTTACTCTATTTTTATTTCTAAATTGATTGCATATTTTTCAGAGAATGTGGCTTATTTAAGTTCATCTCTGAGGAATTTGGCACAGTGGTTGCAGATGTGGGTTGATCAGTTTTGATCTCAGGTGCAGAAGGAGAAGATGGGGAACCTTGTTCTCTGTATGGACTCAAGCACAGGCTGCTTTAGCACGTAGAGTTTCACGCAGAGTTACAGTACAGAGGCTCACACCGTGAATAAAAACCAGGCAGCCCGCCAGGAAGGTCAGAAACCTCTCGAGTCAGTGAATTTCTCCTGTAAGTAATGAACATGGAAGTGTTTGGCCTGGTGTTTCTTTAATGTGAAGGAAATATCAAGACAGTCAAAGTGTAGTTTTAAGAGAACTCAAGCATTATAGAACCCCTTCTATAATTGGGAATTTAAACTAGAAATCCCCCCTACTCTACTCTCCAGCCCCACTGCTGTATGATTTGGGCAGCTCACGCCGTGGTGGCTGGAAATGTTGCCTTTCTTTACCATTTGAAGCCCCAATGTGAAACTTGTGGATGGGCACATAGGGAAACAGTAGGATCTGTTACAGACAGGCCAGAGGAGTCTGTTTTAAATGGAAGTGGCATGTATGCTTTAAATAGATTAAAATCACTAGTACATTTTTAAAATTATACTGCTGTTTAATGAGTGAATAGATGTTTTAAAACTGAATACCTAGCACCTAGCCTTTTCGCTCAATCTACTTCAAAACTCAGGGTCCATTTATTGGCAGGCTCTCTTCCTTTTTCATTTTCACCATGTATTCCGCCTGCTTTCACACAGACATTTTCTTTTATTTTGTTCTTGTTTTAACCCTTATGGCTCTAAGTCTCAACTCCTCTACCTGGCTTTCAGAGCTTTCCAGAATTTGAACAGACCCTCTTGACTAACGTATCTCTCATATTTTTTAACATCTCACCTCAACTCCTGGCAAACTAGTCTTTCCATGCTCCCTACCTGGAATTTACACCCCCATGTCTGGCCTGAATGCTCCTGTCCCCTCTGCCTTTGTAAGCTCTTTTCATCTTTCCTGTGTCCTGCACAAGCTCAACCTCTCCAGTAAAACCTTCTGGGCCAAGCCTTTCTCTCCAGTACTCTCCAATAAACAGTTGGATTATAGAAATTCCCTCTTAACAGTGGATTGACTCTCTTTTAATAATGTTCCATCAGTGTTACTTCATTCTCCTCATTATAAATAGTCAAGAGCAAGGGTCACAATTTAAACTTCTGCTTCCCCCAAGAAAGTCCCAGAATAATTTGCAAAGAACAGTCACTCATTCAGCACAATAGGCTAGCTTCTCCACTTTACAGATTAAGAAATGAGCATTTAGTGGGTTAAAGGACCCTAACCATCAGCTTTACGCCCTATATAAATGTCTTTCCATTTTTAAGAGCATTCTGTCCCAGTTATTTCAAACTTTGATACAACATTTCTTCTTTGGAAAACTTAAGGAAACCTCTGAAAAGTAGTTGAGGTCTTTTTAAGGATTTTAGTGTGTGCGTAACCTTTCATCTGTAGTGCTGGTTTTTAGAGCCGCCAATAATCTGACTGACAATGTAACTGTATGACATTAGGCCTCTTTTGTCTTTTTAGTCTTCTACCAGTTACCTAATAAGGCATCTACATTTTAATAATTAGCCATCTATTCACATGCTGTTTACTCAGTAAGTGTGTCATCACCTTTGAATTAAAATAGGAATAAAGCACAGGCTCAGAGTGTGAGACTCTTGTGTAATTTGTGGCACAGCAAAGCACCTTTCATGAAGCAGGGGTTGTTATTGCTAAATAAACGTAAGATTTTTACCCTTGCATATATTCACAGATAACTCCTACATTAAAATTTATATGGATAGAAACAGCAGGATTTGTGTGTAATTTTTTTGTTAGTACCCATCTAACCTGAGCAGTAACTCGCTTCACAGGGCTAGACAAAGAGATCCCCAGTCTGGCAGTATTGCAGGGGTGTGCAATGCTCCGGTAGATCTCAGTGGAGAAAGGAGCAAATTTATTAAGAGTGGAAACTGAACTAGAAAACACACTTAGTTTTTTGGTAGTTGTTATCACTCTATTTTATAGTGAAGGAATTAATATTTTAATTTAACAGTAGCTAACTCTTATATAGTACTATCTACCAGATTGTTTCATGTGATTTTATATAGGATAAGTCATTTACAATTCATAATAACTCTTTGAAATATGTTCTGCTATCATCTTCATTTTACAGATTAGGAGACTAGGCAATAGAGTTCTAGTAACTTGCTTGAAGTCACACAGTAAATGGTAAAGCCAGATTAAAATTCAAGCAGTCTGGTTCTAGCATCCCTTTTAGTAACCACCTGGCTATGTCATGATTAGAGTTTATGAACAAAATGTATAACCAAGTACATCAAGAATAACAAATACTGTGCCCTCTCAGGTGTGGCTCTGTTGGTTGGAGGGGCATCCTGTACACCAAAAGGTGGCAGGTTCGATTCCCAGTCAGCACAGACCTAGATTGCCGGTTCGATATCCCTGGTGTGTGGGGTGTGTGGGAGGTGTTTCTCTCCCTCTCCTCCTCTCTAAAATCAATTTTAAAAAAACTATGATTGTCAAACTATGTGACATCAAGTATTGAATTTCTGTATGTTAGGAAAGATATGAGCAATAAATATTTAAGAGCTAAGAAGACGTGCTCATTTTAACCTTGACCTACTTCTCTTTTGAGATAATTGTGTGGGCTGTACAGGTCTGAACTGAATGAAGAAACAAAGGAAATTAGGTACAGGCTTTATGAAATCAAGAATTGCTGCTAATTCTTTTATACTACAGAACATCAATCAGATTGAAATGCAGGGTAGACTGTATTTATAGTAAATGTTTCATGTTTATCTTCCCTTGTTTCACAGTCTATCCTTGAGACTATTCCAGATGTGCCAGTTCATTCCAATGGGTCGGCAGCCCCTGGGCAGCCCGTTCAGAATTCAGTGAGTGGTGAGTGGCACAGCCTCCTGTCGAACTTAAGCTCTGTCTTCTCGCTTTTGTGCTGGTGCTCAAGAGTCAGCAGTGAATTTCTAAAAGGGGAATGAGTTACTCTTCCCATATTGATTCTCTCCAGCATGGCCTCCTTCCACCTGCAAAATGCCGTTCTGTCACACCGGACAAAATTACTAGAAGCCCAGTGTTTCCCTCCTTCGCTCCTGCTGTATCGTTTAGAAACTACTCACTGGGTAGTGTCTTTGGCTTGGGGCCCCTTTCACAAATAGTCTGCATCTGCTTACTGTTGCAAACAAGCCAAGAGTAGCCACTCTGATTGTGCCTCCCCAGGCAGCCACATTAGGTCTAGGAGGTCTGAATTTTAATATCACAATAATATATAGCAGTATCCCATTTTGAGGCTTTCCTCCAGTTATCCTCAATGCCTTTCATGAGACATAAAAATCTAAAATTGAAAACATCACATTAAATAGAAAATTTGTTTAGACAACAGTATAGAAATTTATACATATGGAAGTCTGATGACACTACTTACTGTTTCGCTGAAATCATTCTGGGTGAGCCGGATGTCTTTTTCTGGACGTAAACATTCTAACGTGCTTATGGATTGAATCATAAATAGTTTGTGCTTATTTTACAGTAAATGGTATTGATTGATTAAGTGGCATATTAAATATTCTAGATCCTTTTTTCTTAGATGATGATTATCTGGAAAGGAACATTCCACCAGAAGCTGAAGAGCTGTCCTTTGAAGTATCTTACTCAGAAATGGTTACAGAAGCTCCAAAAAGAAATAAATTCAAGAAGTCAGATTTTAAGAAAGAAGACTATGTTTTTACTGTACGTAAAACCTCTTATCATTATTCCACTGGCTTCCTGTGACGTCTCCATGGCTCCAACTAGGATTTTAAAAAGATTTCACTGCACAGAGATGGGGAGAGGCCAGGCATCAGTGTTACGTAAACTCAGGGCATCATTTCTGTGCAGCGAGACCTGCCTGGCTGTTCCTGGCAGCCCTGGCTTGAGGAAGAGTTGTAAGGGAGTGTGCTTGCGTATTATCATATGGATGAAGTAGGATTTCCACCAGGATCATGTGTTTTTATGTACTTTATATCCTTACTTATAGGTTAATGCAGTTTCTAACTGTATATCTACTTGTGCCTCTAGAAGCACATATCGGAAGGAAGTATTGCAGAAATTCACAGTCATAACAACAAGAAATGAGAGCTTATAGGACAGACACTAAAATTAATCAAAAGCAAATTCAAGAATTTATAATATTAAGGATGAGCAAGTAGTGCTCCATACTTCATTATCCTGAGAGCCTCATTATATATACCTAGGATATTATGTCCTGAAAGCCCAATACAGAATCTATATTACATTGATCTATTTGCTACTCAATAAATGAATTGGTGAAGAGTTCATGATATGGATCCCTGAATATTCTGTGCTGATCAGGGCAGACAGCATGGTGAGCGGGGTCAGGTGCTGTCAGAGCTAAAAGAATGAGTCATCTAGAAACAGGCAGACTCTGCCCCAGGGGGCCTGGACCATTTCCAGACAAACACGCCGTGATGGAGAGGAAGAAGGGAGGCAGGGCAAGAACGTAAGACTCGCTGCATGCCTTCTATGGGCCTGACACTGCATTAGGTATTCAGCTGTAATCATCCCTGTGATTGGTTCCATTTTTCAGATGAGGAAACTGAGGCTCAAAGAAGCTAAGTAACCCATAGCTAGTAGATGGCAGAAACAGGATTTAAACCTATGTGTGTCTAACTCCAAGAGCCCTCTTGGTCCCTAAGCAGCCTCTATGTTGAAGGGCACAGTGGCATTCTGGAGCAAGAGAGGGCATCCAGTGGGACTCTGGTTCCTGGGGGAGTCTCTCTGAATCTTTAGAGAGATCTGTCCAAGGGAGGATGCTGAACCCTAGTCCCCAAGAGTATGCCTTCTCCTGAGGTTTGGCTCAGCCAGGTTACAGGACAGCCTCTCTCTCATGAAGAACTTTGCATGGGGTTTAGCATGCAGTAATTGCTCAATAAATGATTGCATTTCTTATTTATATTGTTGTTGTTAAGTGTTATTGTTATATGGGGCCTTGGTTTAAGAAAAAAGATAAAATAACTAAGAAACAATTGTTGATGAAAGAATGAGTGAATGAATGAGTGAATGAATTGGTAGATGGTTTTAAAACCCCAAGGAAGCTTTAATTTAAGGAACTCCTACGGACAGTGCATACTTAAAGCTTTGTAATTCAAATAACTATGGTATTTTTCTACTTTAATATTTTTTTTTCAATATCAGGCTTTCTGAGAGCAAAGTATTTGTTATGTGCTGTGTGTGTGTGTGTATAATACTTACATACAATACATATATATTTATATGTAATACTTATATATTAACATATATTCATATGTAATACTTTACTATATTATACTTATTATATAACTATATCTTAACTATATATCTATTATATAATACCTATATTTTATTATTATTACTTACATATAATACTTATAGTAATACTTAAATATTAATAAGAACAACCTCTTGCTTTTAAAAGGTCTTATAGTCTTCACAGTATTTCTGGATTATTGAAGGGTTTTTTGTTGTTTTAATATATTTTGCTTTCTAGTATGGAAATAGAGAATATATCATTGTCTTCAAATTGATAGTAAGATTACTTGGCACATTCTCTGTATTTTTCTCTTTTAAGACAATTGGGAATCATCTAAATTTGATTTTTAAGGTAGAACTACTGTCTCAGCGAAAATGTGCAATCAGTTCCAATTTGGAAATTACTTAGTCTCTTAAACTTTGCAGAAGAGAATAGATGATGCTTGATTTAAGGACTGATGGTCCTTAAAATAAAAAATATCTTGAAAGCTCTCCCGGGAGTACCTAGATGTGCATGCCTGTCTCATGTGTGCCCATGATGTGTACATTTCATGCAGTGCCTGGGATGTTTAATGTTGATGATATAGAATGATCCTTAGAAGAAAGCAGTTTTTACAGTTGTGATGGTAGTGTTACATTATGCGCAGACCACTGGTGTGCTTCACATTCAGCGTAGTAGTAACCTGCAAATGTTCTAAAACTCATATTCATAATCTTTCTATGATGCCGCTTGCTCCTCAGAGATTTTTTATTTTGCAAATAGCAAATTGATTTAGAATGTTCAGGTAGCATTTGATGAAAGTATAATAATTTTCTTTTGCCATAAAAAATAAATGTCCTTAATATGTATTTTAGAAATTTATTGTGCAGAAAACCAGATTTGGCTTAACTGAAGCAGGAGATCTGTCTGCTGAAGACATGAAGAAAATCCGCCACCTCTCTCTGATTGAATTGACGGCCTTTTTTGATGCCTTTGGAATTCCACTGAAGAGAAACAAAACAGAGAAAGTAAAAGGAAGAGGTAGTTAAGAGGACAGGTTTCTTCTGATTTTAACAGTGTGACACATTGGAATAAGATTAGTGCTTTTCTGATTCTTTTTTCTTTCTCAACTATTTTACAATGAAGACAATGGGATTTTTGGAGTTCCACTTACGGTCCTGTTGGACAATGACCGAAAGAAGGACCCTGGAGTGAAAGTGCCCCTTGTGTTACAAAAAGTGAGTAGAATATAAATGGGAATTAATAGAGTCTCGTGTTTGCTATTTATAAACCTGCTAATGAATTTTCCTTTAGTTTTAAAGACACTAAAGCCAAGCCCTGTTAGGACTCAGGCCCTTGGTAATTTTCACTTTCTTCCATGAAGCCCCATGCCATCCCACAAGTACTTGGACATCCCACAGTTTGCCTTGCTGTGAACTTTTGGAGCCTGTTGCATTGTCTGACCATAAAGCATCAGGTGGATACAGATGCTCTGTCACATGGTTTCCTTTGGTTATATCTATTTCCAATATTTAAAAAAAATATTATTTGTGTATATGCATGTGTTTGTGTGTATTTGATTATTCTGTCTGGAATGAAAAGGACTAGTAATTATCAGCAATCTATTTACTGACCATACAAGTATTTCCTGAGATATCATAGGTTGGGTATTATAAAATGTGTATTTGTAATCATTTAGGTGAATTTTCCAAACAAAGCTTAATGAAGTCTAAAAATTAGCTTGTTATGATAGTTTTTAGGTATGACTAGGAAGATACGATACAGTTAGACAAAGAAGAATTTTGGTTTGGGAAGTTTTAAAGGTGATATTATTTGAATTATGCTAATATCTCTCTGTCATTGGTGAATGGCACATTTACTTTTAAGTCGTGTATTTTTATACCCAATAATTTACACCAGTTCACCTAAGTAAGCATTTATTTAACAGTGACATCCAGTGGCACAATTAAAGTTCCAAGCATTAAACACAAATCCTATTGAATTTTAACTTGAGTTTTTAAATGATATGTGGAAATATTGACTGAGGAAACATATGTTCACATTAGTCACAGTAGTTATTCTCCATCTCCTTACTATCTTTCTAAATTTTGCTACTGGTACCTCAAGTTGAGCTGCTCCTCAAATCCGGCTGCCAATGGGAGCAGGAAGGATGGCAGAGGATGCTGGTGACATGCCAGTGTGCATAGGAGCTATCTGTAGGGTGCCTCTCCTGCACAGGGCTGCGCCAGTGCCTTCCACATCCTGTCACATCTCATCAGCTCTGCGCCGCCCGAGGAGCTGGCATTATCATCTCCCTTCTACCAGTGAGGCAACCGAGGCATAGTAGGGTAAGATCATTTACCCAGGAACACACAACTAACAAGAGGTAGATGCGAAAAGGAGCACAGTATATATCCAAGGCAAAGTCCTGGTGATTAAGATTTTCTTTCCTTCCTTGAATTAGGACTAGAATTATGTCCTTTGTCCTCTGCGTACAGGATGGAATTTAAAGAAAATGCATAAAAACCTAAGACTGAGAAGATTCACTACATGAATTTATATTATTATGTAAGTGCAGAGACCTAGTACAGGACGTAGCAAATGGAAGGTGCAGAATAAGTGCTACTTAAACTAAATCCCAATTTATATCGTATTAGCAACTCAAAAAATGTCAGCTATTATTTCTACTGATGTCAAGTGTTCCTCACTTAAGACAGCTTGAGGTATTACCTTTCCAATCCTATGGGAGAGTCTTTTCTTGTGGATGTGTTTCTTCCTCCAAATATCTATTTCTTCCGTACCTGCAAGAACTACCTTAGCTCCAGGCACTATCACATCTTGAAGGAAAAATAGCAAGAGATCCAGATCCTGCTTTTGTGTGAAGTTGGCAAGTACTTATCCTCAGCGTGCCTCAGCCTCCTCAGCAGTAGAACGAGGATTCTAATGGTACCTTCCTCATAGGATTATTGTGAGGATTTAAATGAGTTGATAGATACAAAGTACTGAGAACAGTATCTAACACACTGTTTACAAAAGTACACAATCAATGTTAGTAGTTATGATGATCATGATGATTTTAACACTATCACCATCACCATGAGAGATCCTGAGAGCTATAACCCTTTACAATTTTACCCCCTTGGTCATATTTCTAGACTTCCGATAGTTTCTTAGCCAGAGTGGTTGCAACTAATGATAGTGAAGTTAGAATCTTTTCTTTTTGGTCAATCTGCAGAAAGAGATGTAGTAAATCAGTTCTCAATATAGTGCAGTGGCAGCATATTTTAGTGGCCAAGAGCACAAGCTTGAGAGAGTCAGTGCCATTACTTTTACCATTAATCTTGGGAAAGTGATATAACGGCTCTAAGCCTCCATTTCCTCGTTTGCAAATTGGAGCCTAATGTTGACCTCATGGAGTGGTTGTGAACACTTAAGGCATTCAAGCACCAGGCATGTATGTATACTTGGTAATTTGTCATTAGTTGTCATCAATAATATTATTTCAGATGTTTGCAATCATACTGGAGGTATTTATTTTTGTAATGTGTCATTGCTTTCTAGTTTTTTGAGAAGGTGGAGGAATCGGGTTTGGAATCTGAAGGAATTTTTCGACTTTCAGGATGTACAGCCAAAGTCAAGGTAACAAACATCTTCTCTCTTCCTAGTTAGAGGGCTAAGCTAGCTAGACCCGGTTCACACAAGCATCAGGTATCGAGTCCTTTGTTGTCTTGATGCTATCACTTGGCCCTACCTAGTCTTCCTCCTCACCTATGATGAGATGTTGTTCATGGTCCTGAGTCATGTATCCTTTTAAATTAAAACAATAAAAAACCACCAACAGTTCACCATCAGCACTGCTGCTTGTCTTTAGTTTGAAAAGTTGAAATGTCCCATCACTGCTTTGGGGGGTAAACACTTTAGTTTGCTGTGTTCCTCTCAGTCATTGAATTTATTAAGCCTATTATTATATAAGTCCTATTTCCATTATCACTTGCTTTATATTCAGAAATATTCTTTGGCTCTCCTTTTAATGAAAGTCCTTATAAGAATTTGTAGGAATGGCCATAACCACTACAATAATCACGCAGCAGTTCTAAAGCCCAGTTCCACTGAAAGTAATGTTAGTTTCTTCATATAAAAGCACCCGTGCAATGTGAATCCTTCTACTTTGCTTTCTTACTTCTATATGGTGGCAAACTCTACATTCACTAAGGAATCATTAGAAAAGAAAAGCTTTTTTCATAAATTTCCAGGAAGGTATACCACTTCATCTACTGGTGGGCATACAGGATGAAGAATCTCCTCCTGCCCTCCATCACTGTCTGGCTGGTAGACATGGAAACATGAGCAGTTTGAAATGATGAATCCCCCAGACAAAGGTCTCGGGGAGAGGGAAAAGTAAACCTGGTTCTGTTTAGGACTATTAAAAGGAAATGTATTGAGGCGAAAAAGCATCTCTTCATTAATTCATTTTTGTACATGTTTTGAGAAATTCTATTTCTATCAGAAGTCTCCGAGTTTTTATATAGAAACCTGACAAGATATTTTTCTGAGTGGGAACTGAGGATAAATAGGCGGTGTCTATTGGGAGCCCCAGAGGGCAGATGCTGCGATGAAGGTAGAAGAGGATTATTGGGGGATCACACTTCTGTAAGATCAGGGGATGGAGGTAGGATTAGGCAGGCTGAGCCTCAGCCCACAGTTCAGGCCTAACAGCTCCCCCCGTCCCCTGAAGCAGCCCCGACAGCACCCTCAGTCATTCTAGGGCTTTCTGTGGAGGAGGGGCTGAGGCCCATCAGAAAGTCCAAGCAGCTGGGGAGTCAGCTACCTGGACTTTGTCGGATAATCGGCAGGTTCTTTCTTGGAGGGAGCTCAGAGCAGTGCACTGTACTTTGTCAGTGGCAGAAAGAAGAGGGCATTTGGGGGAGTTGTGACTTCCCTGGCAGTAGAGATTACTAAGTACCACCACAGGTTCATTTGAAAGGCAGGAAAATCCCTAGTGGCTCCTGAAGGTTTATACTTCCTAAGTTGAATCTGCTTTCGTCTCAGGCTCTCATAGGTGTGGTTGTTATGTACTGCTGAGCAGACGTATCCTCAATCCGACGATGAAGGCTGTCACTAGTTTTGGTTAAATCTTTGGTTATATCTGTAGAGTCAGAGAATCAAAATGAAGCCAGAGAAGCAAATTTCCTAAAAGGGAATTAGACTGTATCCCTCAAAACATCCCTTCATGCTTGGAAAGCTCTATTTGAACAAATTCTTACTGGCTCCTGTGTGTGTGTTGTGTCTGTTTGTGTGAGAGAATGAGGAATACAGATAGACAGAGGGAGAGAGGAGCGTAATGAATAGCATTTAAAGTTCTCTTTTTAAGTCATCGAAAAGAGAAAACATTACAGGTCATTTCTTGGGTGCATGAATTTTAACATCATAGCAGAAGTTACTTTTCTTTGGCTAATCTTTGACTGAAAAATGCTTATCATAGGCTAGTAATTCCTTCAAAGTGTTCTTATAGGCACATGCATCTCTGAATCACATTTGGGTAGAGGTCCCTTCTCTCCCCTAATCAGTTTTATGTAGTTTCAGCCTTCTTATTCCATCTCTTATTAGTCCAAAAAATGTAATCCAGATGTTTTCATGGTTTGAGCTCCAGGAAAGCCAATGTGAAAAAAATCTGGGCCAGTGAACAAAAACGGGAACATTGCAGTTAGAAAGGCACTGTAACTTGATATAGTAAACGGGTCTTTATTTCTCTCCTTGTTCAAACTTTAAACTATTTTTTTTGTAATTTTATCTGTTAGACTATTTTTTTTCTGGAATATGCTTGAGGAAAGACTGTTTCAAAAAAAAACCCCACTTCATTATAATTAGCCTCTAATTGTGCCAAGTGGATGACACTAACCTGAATGTATCAGGAACAGTCCAGCCCAGTCTTGTGCTTTCAGGGCCTGGTCAGACCAACAGGCACGGGTGCTGAGGGGGAGCTGCAGGTTTTAGCCACACAGGGGCCCACAGCAGCAGGGCCCCCTCCTGTATTTAAGGCCTCAGATCATTTGGAACCAGTTTAATACTTTGGTGTTTTCAATGACATTTTTTCCCAAAAGGACAGAAATTTGAGCCAAACACTGGGGAATATATTTTATGGAAGAAAGCAGGCTGTTGGACACGTGAGGTTTTCTTTTTGGACTCACTGGAATTATTCTGAGGCTTCTCTGCATGTTTTGTAATGAACTGGTCTGCTGGTTTCCCCTCCTGAATTGGTTTTTGAAGCTGAAGGCAGGTCACTTGCGTTGTTATAAAACTACCTCAGGGATGGAAGCAGGCCGCCTATTTGCCAGAGGAGATTTAAGGACATGGCTCTGACCCTGGCGTAGTGTTCTCATTAACACTGGGCAGAAAACATGACTTCTCCAACCTTTAAACGCTACCTGCCTTTGGCAAGGTAAACTCAACACCTGATTTCTATGGTTTCACATTTATGACCAGAGAAATACCAGCTCTGCCCCTGTGCTCCACAGTTGGCTCAGCTTGAAACCAATAGAGGACATTCTTTCTCCCAGTTTTGTTTCACACTGGCCATCAGACAAGACCAAGTGATATTATTACCCAAATATCCACAACCACATGCACATGCATTTCCCATGGTAATAACACTAAAGGCTGTAACAAAGAGAACGGCACATAGCTGGCTGCTGACATTTATTGAGCAGTTACTGTGTGGCAGGCCCTGCCCCCTGAGCTTTACATTATATCATCCGATTTACTCTCTTTGAGGTCACTTTAATATCCCTATTAAACAGTGAGAAACTTGAGGCACAGGCCGCACAACTAGTCAGTTGTGGAACTGGGATAAAAACCCAAAGAGCCTGGTTATAGAGCCTACTCTTGACACTGGAGCCATCATTCTAATCTGTCAGTGTTCCCTGCTTTTAGGTGACAGGGAACACTGGCAGCTTAGAGTGATGGTCACATGAGGTTTAGGTAGCTTCCTTTGGCAGAGGTATGTAGGAAATGAGTTCGAATTACTGTGCCCTGCCTGGTGCTTCCTGCCCACTTCGACACCGTTTCCCCTTTGCTTTGTAGCGGGGGCACCAGCTATGGATGAAAAGCATTTTTGCCTCCTGTATTTCCTGTTAACACCTCACTTGCCATTACTCCAGCTAGCAATCTGAGATCAGAGTCGTCTTGGACCGTTACTTTCCCTCTGAGTCTCATGTTCAATTCATCAATGATTTTTAAATTTTTTTCCTTTTTACCCTTTGACCCACTTCACCATTGCTCCCACCCTACATCCCCCCACCCCCATCCTGGCTTCGGCAACTGCCAGTCTACATCCATGGGCTTTTTTTTTTTGATACCACAATAAAAGTGAGGTCATATAGTAATTAGTAATTGACTTTCTCTGTCTGACTTATTTCACTTAGCATAATGCCTTCAAGGTCTATCCATGTTATTGCTAATGGCAAGATTTCCTTCTTTTTGCATCTGGATGTAAGAAAAGATAAATGTCACCATGTCCTTCTCTCGCTTGGAAATGTTCCATGTTGCCTCACCGCCTACAGAATGAAGTCAGGTCACCTCTGGGCTGCTCCTCAGTCTCATCTTTCTCTTTACTCTCCTCCTTGCCCATGATGCGCCATCAACACTGAACTAATTGGGGTCCCCAGGCCCCCTGGGCCTCCTTGCATTTGTATTACTGTTTGAGCAGTTTCCTCTGTCCAGGGCACCCTTCTATGTCGTCTTCTGGAAAGCTCCTCACTAGTCCTCAAGACTTTGCTCTGGCAGAATTCGATTCTCTTTCATGACTGCATAGCATTTGATACATGACCTTTCTTATAGTATTTAACACCCTAAATTAGCATTACGATTACATGAACGGGTTGTGCCCACTGGACTATAAGATGCCTAAAGGCAAAGGACGGATCTCATATATCCTGCCTTGTCTCGGTCCCTGTCTACCCTGACTTTTATTCCAGGAAGAGTTAAATACGTATGCTTCAATGCTTTACCAAGTGTATTTATCAACAAAGGGGTCAGTGATTAGCTGTATGTTGAGAGCGTCTCAAGGACAAGAAGAAAAATCTTTTGATGTCATCAAAGGGTGGCTTGAAATCATGTCTGTCTCTCTATAAAAGATGTGTCCTGCCAGGGCACCCCTGTTTTGCATGTACTAGGAGCCATGAGAGCATTTATTTCTGGGGTGGTTAATGAGCTGCTCCTTGGGAGGAAAAAGTCAGATGTAAAAACTGACTCTGGCCCAGCCGGGCGTGGCTCAGCAGTTGAGCGTCGACCTAGGATCCATGCGATCGGGGTTCAATTCCTGGTCAGGGCACATGCCCGGGTTGCGGGCTCAATCAATGACTTTCTTATCATTGATGTTTCTGTCTCTCTCTCTCTCCCTCTTCTTTCCTCTCTCTGAAATCAATAAAGATATATTTTAAAAAAACACCAAAAAAACCCACTGACTCTGGCTATGCATGTTTCAGGCTTGAAGAATTAGGCTTCTCATAGGAATAAAGTAGGAGCCTTAGAGAAATTGAGAGTTTTCAAACTTATCTTTCTAAGAACTGTTAGGGTCAGCCAGGGAACTGACTTAACTATCTGCTATTAATAGTAAAATCTGTAGTTCAAGGGAGAAATAGAAAGTGAATTTGACTTAAAGAAACATGAATTGGTGGCACTGATAATCAAATGAATTGATAATGTAAAATGTATACCCAAGTAGAACTTACGGAGCCTTAGTGGTTGTTTTTTTTAAAGTATTTACACAGTGTTCCAAACCTTATGAAGAATTGGACAAGCATGCAAACATGTGGAAGACATGTGTATGTCTTGGCTTAAAACTTTGCCATAACTGCTCCAAGAAGATGTCATTGGTTTGCATGTTGCAGTGAGATCAGAGTTTCTTTATTCTGGATGGGAAGTAGCTGAGAGGTATACATTCATGATCTGATTTAGTAATTCTAGATGACCAGGATAGAAAAAGGAAGGGAGAGTGGATAAGAGAGAAATAGAGGCTTTGTCAAAATCTAGCAGTGTTGTCATGTGGCGTAGGTGGCATTCTGCCAAAACCACAGAAATGAAACTATGACCTGAGTAAAGAATTCTTTAATTTGTGTAGAATTAGCAAATAATTTCAAGATTAACATTGTTCTAAAAAGATTCCAGGAAACATTTTTAAAAATTAATTCAGAAAAAAGTATTTCACTTCTTTAATCGTTTTGAAAAAAGTTAGGCTTTTTAATAGTTTGTGTGATGACAGTTTTCAAAGGGGGGCTGTCAGGTTGTAGAAGTACATTAAATATTGACTGTTTTCCTTGATTTTCAGCAATACCGTGAAGAACTGGATACCAAGTTTAACACTGACAAATTTAAATGGGACAAAATGTGCCATAGAGAAGCTGCAGTGATGTTGAAAGCCTTTTTCAGAGAATTACCCACTTCTCTCTTCCCTGTGGAATATATACCTGCCTTCATCACTCTGATGGAAAGTAGGTGGAATACGTTAAGTGTGAATGGGAGAAAGATGCACAATAAAATGTGGTTAGAAGTGTATATTTGCTCTTCCCTGGCAATGCTTGGTGAAATATTGTGTTTGATGGTAAACAGTCATCTTTTTACATATTTATATATCTAAGTCTGATAGATATGATTTAGAGGGTTTTATAATCATTCAAAGGCAGGGGGTTGCAGAAGGCATAGACTCCTGAGATTTAAATTCCTGCTCAACCATCTGTTAGCCAGGCAGTGAACCTTTCTGAGTTTCGTTACTGTGCCTATAAATTACAGTTAATAGTTCTGTGTCAGAGTTGTTGTGACTATTGAATGAAAACATCTAGAATAGTGCCTGGTGTGTAATAGTCCTTGAAAAAATATAAGACCTCTCTCTTCTTTAAATCTGAGGTCCTGCTCTGATGGGTAGCATGTTACACAGAAGGTGTTTCCTCTCTGAAAATTATATCGCATAGTATTTCTGAAAATTACAAAGATACATAGATTAGGCCTTAAGTGAGGTACTTTGATAAAAGTGTAGTAATGGAAACTGTGTTGTATTTGGCAGTGAGGGAATGATTTGTCATGGTTTCAGCCAAAGGGTTGAAGATTTTTGAGGAGAGTTAAGTTCCTAGAGCATCTCATCAACATTATGACAAAACAATGTTGAATGAAATGAAGTTATTCGAGGACCTACTGAACAAGCTTATTAAGTAAATGGTGATTCTACGTGGACAGAAAAGGGCTGTGGCAGATTGAGAGGACACACCCTAAATAATGAGGTGGCCACTGCTCAGCTTGGTTTTTCCCTGGGTGCAGCCGGTACACACTTCATTTAAGGGAGAGAATCTGGAAAGTATCCTGAAAAGGCTCACATAGTTTTGTATGACTTTGAAAGTAAAAAAATACTATATACAGTAATTGATTTGAAACCAGCCAACCCCACAGGAGGCCCAAAGTTCAGGGCTGCTACCAGCATGGAAAATAGCCTTCCTGCCCCATGGAGTAAGCTCTAGTTATAACGAGCATTTTGGAAGTGAAGCCGTAGACGTGGGTATGTGTTCAGGCTGCCCTTCTCTGTATTCTGGAACAGAGTATGAGGATACAGAGTCGCTTCCAAACTAGTGTAATCACTTTCTCTTTTCAAACTTGGCCCCAAAATTGCCCATAAAATTAAAAGACTAATAGTTCATCAATCAAACCTGAGATATTTTCACGAAAATTTCAATAGCTTTCTAAGGAAATCATGACCTCAGGACAAAAAGAAAACTTAACTAGGATGCAATAAATGAATTAAGTACAAAATAGTGTAGGGCCAGGTTTCCAAAGTAAAATGAAAATGGGTTATTTGCCAGTTTAGATTTTTTATCTTAACAGGAACTTTATAATTTCTCTGAAATTGATGGAAATACAGAGTCTGCATCTGCATCTGTTATCTCCCCCACCGGAGGTTTTTGGGGATTACACTGGAAGATTATAGACAGCCCTTAGCCTGCAGCGTACTCATTAAAATAATGCTTTCTCTGTCCCTAAATACTTGTACTGAGATGTACTCCTGATAGATCCTATTATTCAGTCAGACTCATGTCATCATGCATTAGCTGTTTTCAGAAACATTCTGCACCTGTGTCATTTTTGTTTACAAATTTGACATAAATTTCTAGAAACCCACATGGGGAGTGTGCTGAGACAATATGATACAATCCTATAAATATTCCTTCCAACTGTTCCTTCATCCCGTGGTTATTTTTATTAGTCATCTACTCCTAACTGGGGTGCACACAACCTCCTGTAGTAAGTACCTTGTCACAGGAGTGCTTCCAGTATTGTAAAGCTAAGTGACTTTATAAGCAGCCCACTGCCTTTCATCCATTGACTATAGATAGATAGTTCAACTTGAGAACTCCCCAGGGATTCTAGAAGTAATGTTTCCTGCCAGGACTCCCCACTAAGAGCCCATTTGAGGAGAGTACTGAGAGACAAAGTAAAGCCCGGATGCCAGGTAAACTATTCTTCAGCACAGCTGGTTGAGGATTTTCCAGCTGTGGGTGGAACTGCTAAAATCCCGTCCCTGAAACGGGAGAGATGGCACTGAGAACACAAGTATAAATGCCAGACGTCTGGCGCCATCTTCTGTCATTGTCAAGAAATAAGATATCAACAGTCTCCAGAGATTCAACTAGTCACCTTCCCTAAATGTCCATTTAAGATCTAGAATATGTGTCATTAATCATAACAAAAGCAAACACACATAGAGGTAACTACTTATGGGTATTGATGTGAACACTTTACACATATTAATTCATTTAATCTTTTTTTTTTTTTTTAATACCGGGCATTCTGCTTACAGAAGCTACCTTATTTAAAGGTTTAAGTTATCATCTTTGCTGGTAATGTGCCTTAGAAGTTGCTCGTGATTGAAGCTTTGTTGGGTTCCCCGGAAGCAGCACCTAAGACCGAGATTAGTTTGTGTAGAACATTTATTAGGGTTTATCCTTGGCTGCCACACCTCTGAAAGGGAAGGGAAAGGAAGCAGAACTGGGCAGAGGATAAGGCTGGGCAGTGACGCAGTCACACAAGACCTCAGGCACCCCTTGGAGAGCTCTGAAGCTGGATGGCCTTCAGGATTGTTTCCCATTGCAGTGGGAATGCTGGGCATTTTCATTCGGAATCATGGACGGCACCTGAGAAGACAGCATGACCTTAGGCGAAATAGCTGGAGAGCAATTTCTAGGAGGAGCTGACAGCTGAGGGACTAGGTCCTTCAGTCCTGAAGGTGGGATGCGGGCATCATGTCCCATGTGTTGCTACAGGCACGATATGGAAACAAAGAAATTTTCTGAGTTCCCGAGACACCCCACATAAAGAAGAAACAAGTGAGTTTTTAGAGGCAGTCCAACAGACAAAGGAAATCTCAGGAAATAAAGCCCACATTTCTGAAGCCAAAGGGGTTACTCCGTCCATAAACCACTATGCACGAAAGCTCCCCTTATTGTGTTACTCTCTGTGTTAAAAGGGTTCCTCTCTGATTTCATGAATCCATATTTGCATAAGAATTACTAATTCAACTATAACAGTCTGTCCCCACATAAAAGAAAAGATGTCTCAGCACTGCCTCTTACACAGCAATGGATTGGGACATGACTGAGACATTTACTCAGAGACACCCAAGTGACTGTCCAGCACTTTAGTGCACATGCTACATGCAGCATCCAGCACAATAGCAAAGCAAAATCAGTCCAAACTTTTCAAAATTATTGGTGGGGAAATATCCCCTGAGTGATTTAACAGTTGCCAAGTCTTGCCATTTCTGTATTTATCACAACCCAAGGAAAACTATAGAGGTGGGGCATAACTCACAACCTCACTTCAAGGATAATTTGAGCATTTATGAATGGATTTTATATCATTGTCCAAATCACAGAGCCTTAACTAGGTTTCAGTAATGTGGTTTTTTTTTTCTAATTTGTCTTCTGTATCTATGAACTTGGTTTTGGGGTTTGGGGAGGGGTTGTTTTTTGGAGGGGTGTTTTGTAGATTTAGATCCTACAGATAAGAGAGATGAGATGATATTAATTTTTCTTTGATTTATTTCATTTAGCATAATGCCCTCAAGGTCCACCTGTGTTATTGCAAGTGGCAAGATTTCACTTTTTATGGCTGAATAATATTCATTGGGGGGGGGGG